CTGTATGAGCTCATCGAGGCTCTCCTGAAGGCTGTTCCCCAGAGTGGTGTTTCTGTATAACTGGTACGCCATGGCTTAAGTGGGAGGTGTTTTTCTTACTCAGGCTTGCATTGATATCCTAAAATACGAAAGTATTAAAAAGGCAACTTTAAATCATGTATGTAACAGTCTACTTCAGAAACCCTAACACATATGATTGTAACTTTTAACTGGCAATCATAATCTAATTTTAGAATTACAGGATTTTAGAATTATTTTTTCTTTGACTTTGACATAGGCATTGGTACTCCGTGCATGCCATTAAACCAGGTCTAAGACAGGTACACTGACCTTACATGTAACAACAGCACGACGCAGTGCCGAGTGCTGCGCCACCCACACTCATGGCAACGCTTGAGAGTCCACTGCCGCAGTCGCTGGGTCACTCCAGCTCTTTGGGGACACGCACTTTTACTCTGGACTCTGTTACCAGGCATGTCACTCTCCAGTGACCGGTCTCTCCCGACGATGTGCCCAAAGACACACCACCCTTGCTTCTTTTTCAGGAGCAAGCTGGCCGGACTGCTTTCCGGCTAGCTGGGTTTGCTTTCCTGATAGCTCACGGCACACGCAATACGCTTCACCGACACATTTCAAATGCGTCACTTCTGGGTCCGTCTTCTATCTTTGCGGCCCTGCTGTTGCACGCATGTGAGGTAATGGAAGAGAGACTGGCAGGGGCGAGGCACACCTTAGTCATCCAAGTGACAGCTTTCCTTTTTAAACTTTAGAGATCTTTTAGTGTAGATTTGGGGTTTCAAACTGCTGACGCTGTGGTTAGCAACCCAATGTGTAATCACTTCATCACCAGGGCATCGGAGGTTGTTTGGTTTGTAGACTGACCCTTCCATGGGCATCAATTGCTGATCCTCAGTATGGGAATCTTCCCCAGCAGTCATCGTGATAAGGCTTGTCGGTTTGTTTTCAAATGCTCAGATGGAGCTCTCCTGAGTAGTGGGTTAAGGTCTGGGCTCCAAAACACAAAGTCAGCAGTTAAAACCAACCAGCCACTTCTTGGGAGAAAGGGGAGGCTGTATGTGCCCATAAAACATAACCTTGGAAGCACACGGCCCAGTTCTACTCTGTTCCCGAGTCAGCATCAACTTGATGGCAGTGGGTCTGATGTTCAGATATAATCCCCACTGACAGCTGGAGTATTTGACCCTCACCAATAAGGGCTGCTGCTTTCATGTTGGGCAAGCCGGGTTGCGTCCCCTGCCTATCTCAGCTTGTTCGTGAGACCTCCTCAATCCTGATGCCAGACTCTTTTTCACATAGCCCAGCTTCTCCAATGATTTGTTCAGCGTATGGATGGAATAAATTTGGTGAAAGGATACATCGCTGATGCATACCTTTCCCAGTCTCAAACCACACGGCACCTTCTTGTCTTTGAAGATTGCCTCTTGATCATGTAGAGGTTCTGTCTGAGGTCAGGGAAGGGTTTTGCCTTCGCGTAGTGGATAGAATGCATATTTTATCATTTAAAAACCGGTCTAGCCAAATCCCGAATTTACTGTATACCACCCTTTCTAGTTACCGAGCCACTCTTCAGCGCACAGCTGCACGCCCCCACTTTACAGTTCTCCTGAAATTCAGTATTCATGGAGTGCTTCCCATGTGGATGGCAACATACAAGGTGGTACCCCAAAAAACCCAGTAAAAAACCTTCACTGGGTGGAGTTTCGTTGTATGCCATTTTTCCTGCTAGGTGAGCATCGAGCAACTCAATTTGAGTTAGTGCACCCAGTGACCCTGCCTGGGAAGGTTATGGTCATAATGAACTTTTTCGTAAAAGCAGTTTCGCTCTAACCTTGTTTTTGTGATGGCCGATTTAAGAGAACAGCGTGGCTGTGAACTTCTGTATCCTGCTCGGGAAAATGCCCCAGAAACTGTTGTGATGTTGAACACAGCTTGCAAAGACAGCGCTATGGGAAGTGTATGAGTGGTTTTCTTGTTTCAAAAAAGGTGAAATGTGGAATAATGACAAACCCCGTTCTGGACATGTCAACTTCCTGAAAGGGCAAAAAATGTCGACTTGTAGTACATTTGGAGTTTGTTCCACCAAGTCAGACTGCTAATCAAGCTTTCTATTTAGAGGCTCTGAAAAGACTGCATAACAGTGTGTGACAAAAAAGGCCAGACTGGTGGCAGACGAGGGACTGGCTTTGCGACCACAACAATGTACCTGCTCACACAGCCATCTCAGAGCGCCAGTTTTTGGCCAAAAACAGCATGCCTCTCTTGCCCCATGCACCTGACTCAACTGACTTCGCACCCTGTTACTTCTTTTTGTTTCTGTGGAAGAGGGACAAGAAAGGACAGTGGTTTGACGACTCAGAAGAGGGGAAGAAAAAACGAGGGAGGTACTGTCAGCCATCCAAGCAGATGAGTCTGGAAAATGTTTCCAAGAATGGAAGTGCAGATTTGACAAACGTCAATGTATTAAGTGCAACGGAGAATCCTTTGACGGTGATAAGGTTGTTGCATGAAAAAAGATAAACACATAACTTTGAAAAAAAATTCATTTTTTCCTGGGGGGCACCCCCATTGTAAGTGCCAGGGAGTGAGGAATAATGATATACCTCTTACCCTACAAAGTTTATTACTCTGGAAAAAATAAGACAAATGAAGAAGTTAAGTTCAGGATCAAGTCAGAATCAGGTAGAGATTTGCATCAGATACTACGGAGGCTGCCTGTACATAGCTGATGCAAACAAATCTTTGATGCTGCAAGGCTAGACTTTAGCCAAGCAATGCAAGGTCATTCTGGGCTCAAAGAACGGAATGAGTAAGCTTAGAGATGGTTTTGTATTACTAGGCTATGACAATGAACAGCAGGAAGTCAGTCACTGAACACGTGAGGCAGGAAAATCAGAGTAATGGGCAGCAATATGAAGAACAGATTTGAAGGCCACGATTAGAAGCACACCAAAGGGTCATGAGCTCAAAATGCGGCAGTAACACAGATGCAACAAACATCAACTGTTTCTACTGCGTGCCAGGTAGGGGATCCTTGTGCTCACGCCACTTTTAGTTTAGAAGTAGAAAGGAGACTAAAGTTGAGGAATAACCATCAGTCAAATAATTGTTTTCACATTACACTTATTGGTAACACTTGGTCCAATAAATCATTTCTACTTTCTTGTTTTTTGGGAGGCTTGTGGGACATAATTCTCAGTGTCTCCTTCCCCCGCCAAAGCAGGATAAATCTGCTGAGGAGCAGCCCTGAGCGCGTGGTGCCATGCGTAAGCCCTCTGGCGCCAGAGGTGTGCTCAGCAATTGGAAGCTGTGAGCAGCTGGAGAGGTCTGACCCGCCCCGCCGAGCAATTCCACTCTGGCACAAAGGGTCTGCAGAGTTAGCATTGAGGATTCCCACCTTTTTATATCCGGCCCTGACTTCTCCCCCTGGACCCACATATGAAACTGCATTACTTGGCAATACATGGACATAGCAAACAGGCACTTCATGTTAAAATTTCCCCCAAATGCAAACGGCTGCTATTGCTCCCCAAAGGCTGCTCTGCTCCCAGCCTCACCCACGGACGGCACTGACAGCAGTGCGCTTCCAGGAACACCGCCCACACTGCAAGGCAGCCTAACTTCTCTCAACTCGCGTCTATTCTACCACCAGGCAATGCTTTCAGCTCTTCCTTCTAAAAATACCTGACCCCGACAGCATCTACTGCTGCTCCTGCTATCATTCCCGTCACCACCATCTGTCCGTCCACTGCATTAATGTTAAGCAACTGCCTTTCCCTGTTTCACCCTTGCACGGACATCCCTCAGAACAATTCCTCAGCTTAAAAGGAAAATCAGATCACTGATCGATCCAAAATCCTTTAAGCAGCAGCACCTCATCTCAGAAAAAAAAAAAAAGCCCTTCTAATTGTTGCAAGGCCTCTATGGTGAGGCCTCTTCCCGATTTCTGAGCTTATTTAACCCAGACCCTCATTCGGTCTGCTTGTCATACTGGTTCCCTGCTATTCCTCCATGATGGGCATGTTCTTGCTTCAAGGACTTGGTTCTGACTGTTCTTTCGGGGAACGTTCTTCCACGATATCGCCAGGATTCATGCTCTCATTTCGTCTAAGAGTTAGTAGGTTCTTTGGACTTTCTTGGTAAACAAGAAGGGGTTATCTTCTATTACTAAATTCACAATTTAGTCTTTTGTTTAAACTATATTTACAGGATGTAAACTTCAGAGTAATTTTCAAGCTAAAAGATAGAAAAAGAGGGATTAGCTGTATGGCTATTAAAATATTTTTTCAAGTGGAATTGTGTTAATTAAACATTTTCCTCACTGGGTTGTAATAAGTATATATAGAGGGCAGTGATTAAAATGTTCAGGCCGATGAATAATAAAGTTAGATCATAAGAACGAAGATAAAATTACCTTTCTACCTGTCACTCTATCTGCAAATCCATGATCTTATCTAAATCAACTCTTCGACGTGTGCAGCACAGACTAACCTCTCTCGTACAGTGAAGCGCACTGCTCCAATAACTCGATGGTGCCTTCTCTCCTGCCGTCACCTCTGTTCTAGTTCATTCTCACTAGTAAACAAATCAGGGGGATTTCTCACTTCTTTCAAATAAATGAAAAACCTGGACTCATTTTTCTTGCTAACTGCTATGCTAATTCTTTAAACCCTCTCGTTTAGAAGTCCTGAGTCCTAATTTCCTTTCTTAGCTCCCTGTTTGCCCCCTCCTTACAGAACTCAAAAGAAAGAGATGGTTAAAATCAGCACCGACCTTGCTAAAAGCTAGTTCTCAATCCTCATTAGACCCGAGGATCTCCAACAGCTGATCATACCCTTCCTCTGATAAAGGACCTTCACTTGGCTCCTGGGATGCTATCTGGGGTGGGCCTGTGCTGTGTTCTTCCTTCTCAATGATCCTTTATTGGTTAGTAAAGCTGAGCGCTTACGGATAAAAGACTAGCTGGTGGAGGTGGGTGCCTCTGGGCACTTAATTTGGGGAGCTGGGTTTGACAACTCACTGAGGGTTTGGAGTAGCCTGGCCTCTGGGCATTTATTAGCAGCCCTTAAGGAACTTTGTGACATGTCCTGAGTGAATATCTGTATCCTGGTTATTTCTCACCTGCATTGTAACTTACTAAACTTCATGGGACAAGGTCCTTGGTCCTGTTTTTTTGTTTACACTTGCTCTTTGGTGTTAACATTGTCTCGTGGCTTTAAATGCTACTGGAGATGATTCCTACAGGCACACACTAGTGCAGACTTCACCAGTGAACTTCTACTGCCATTTGGATGACTGCTTCCCAGCTGGTTCTCCATTTCCCTGGCTGCCCCGCTACAATAATCTCATCACAGCAGCCAGGGGATTGTTTAAAACACAGCTTCAGACACGGCACCTGTACTCTGCTCAGACCCTCCACTGTGCTCATGTGACTGAGTCCTGCCTGTCCAATAGGGCCTTCCCCATGGGTCAGGTTCCCCTTGCTTCCTTGTCATCCTTTGAACATAAGCACCACACTCCTGGCAAGAACCGTCATGCTTTCTTCTGAAAATGCTCGCCCACCTCAAGGCCCATTCAGCGCTCAGAAACTTAGCCTTTAGTCAAGGAGCAGCTACTCAGTGAGACATGAACTGACCACCACTTTTAAAACGCCGACGTCGACCGCCACTACAGTTCATCCTCATCCTCTTTATCCAGGTCCGGTTTTCGGAGGCACCGTTCATTTCATTTAGTGCCTCTACCTGGAGAGTGCAAGTTACACATGGGTGGAGATGTTAGTCTGTTTCATTCCCCGACGTGAACAGACCTCAGAACCGTCGAGGGAACATAGCTGGAGTCAGATAAATCCGTGCTCACCAGGAGCAAGGCGAGACTTCACAAAGGATGTCTGGGATATGTCTGCTGGGGGAGGGGGAGATGAGGAAGGGTAAGGAGATAAGGGGTAAGGCGGAGCTCCAAACAGGAGACAAACAACTGAGCAGCTAAGAGAATCTTGCATCCTGCTCCATTCATTTGTTAAAATCACTTTCAGGACCTGATCTTGTTAAACATTCCGTCTGAAGGCTTCAAATACTTTAGATGTTGTGCAATTCGCAGGAATTGAGTCCTACTTCACTTTGCAGCTTGAGACTTAATTTACAAGGCTCCCGGTGCGGACGTGCGGGAACAGTCTCGGGTCTCCATCAAGCACCCAGGCGGAATGCCTTTCACTGGCGGCGTGCTCTTGACAGAGCTGGAAGGCCGACTTCCAACATGCTGGCTGGACCGCGTTCCCTCGGACGCGACCCAACAAAAACCCGGAGCTGACCCGCGCTGGGCTGGGCTGGTGACCTCTCCGAGGCTCGGCCAGCTGGGTGGGTGGCAGCGCTGGCCGGGCCCCATCCCAAACTCTCTCCGTGGATCGGTAACGGACGGCCCCTGGGACCCGCAGGGCCCCTGGCAGGGGGCCAGCTGCAGCACCCTCCCTCCCACCCGAACCGAGCCCAGCGCACCCAGTACCTGCAGGGCAGGCGCTTCCCGCCGCGGAGCGCACGGAAGCCCAGCGGAGGAGCCCACTTGCCGACCGACCACCTCTTCAGCAGCCGTAGAAACTGCAGAGCTGCGCCGACGACCCGGAAATACCCCGAAACCGGAAGTGACGCCGGACGCGAGCCCCGCCCACCCGGGTCTCTCTCGACTGGCGCGGGACGGACCGGAGGTGGAGGGGCGTGGGCTGTCCTGGACCAATCGACCCGGGGATAAGCCCCCAAGCCAATGTCATGGCCACCCGTTCTCATGGCAACAGAGCAGGTTAGAACCGCTCCTTCGTTTGCGAGGCGGCACGTTCTCCCGGAAGTAGACTGCCCGACCTTTCCCCGGAGCACCGCACGAGCAGCCGGGCGCCTTCCAACTGCTGACCTGTTTGCCACCCGGAGTCCATTTCTGAATAGCCAGGGTAAAAAATGATCATTTATGCTTCGCTGGTCCAGTCCGTTCCGATTCAGAGACTCTTTATAAGGCTTCTGAGAATTAAATCTTAAACGGGAAGCAGCGAGCCTTGTGGGAAGGACAGGCAGCCTTGGATACAGTTTTAGGGTCTTCTCTCTTATATGCCCAATTTAAGAAACGCAGCATTGGTTAAATTTTAAGATGAAGATAATTCCAGATGACGGTGGCAGGTTATTTCTTCCCCCAATCAAAATAGGGCTGCAGTTCGTTTTGCCACAAGCTTTCGGTTTGTGGAGAATTTTAATTTGGTATAGTTTATATTTAAAACCGTTGCTACTGCAGGACAAATCCTTTTTATATTTTTTATTTACATTATCCAAATTTCCTTTGTCAGCGCATGATATTCTATGAATCCAAGGGGAAAGTGTGTATATTAGTTGGCCATTAAATAGCATCATCTAGTGAACCAAGCAAACACACAAACAAGTGTTGAGACCATAACCACCCAGCAGAACAGGCTCTCATGCATTTTCCAGGGTTCTTAAAACTGATTTCCTCCTTGAAGTCCTACTGAAAATGACAAAAAACACAGTTTGATTATAACAAAGCCCATGGTTTCAGTTAAACCAGGGCAAGCTTGATTCCCGAAAGCAAAAACACCCAGACTACCTAAGGAGAAACTACATAAAATTCTCAAATTATTTGAAAGGCTTCCAAGATAATTCAAGGTAAAACACTGTTAGGTCTGGTGAGTTGCTTGACTTGGAGCAGAATGAAATACTGCAGTTATGCACCAGCCCATCATGGCTGTTTGTAGCTGCCACTGCCAGTCCCTCTCCTTGAAGTCTTCCTCTTTTTGCCCCCTGACACTCCACCAAGATAATGTCCTCCAGGGACTGGTCCCTCGTGATCACATGTCCAAAGGATGTTGCCATCCTTACTTCGAAAGGGCATTGTGGCAGTACTTCTATCCAGGACGGCGGGTTTGTTCCACCATATGCCAATCTGTGGTATAACAGAAGTGGGGTGGGGAGGGGGACTTCAGAAAGGTCACAGAAAAGTGTTATTAAAAGATGACGGAATTTTCCCATGAACTTGTGAAGTCCCTCCATATTCAATGTGCTTTGGCAACAACAATTTAAACACAACGATTCTTCTGTGCTCTTCCTTCTTCCTTCAGCTCTCACATGCATATGAGGCGAATGAAAACACCATGGCTTGAGTCAGGCACCTTAGCCAGTAAGGTGACATCCTTGTCTTCTTAGATCTGCCCAGTGCAGTATGTGCTTTTGACTTCTGACTGTTGCCTAATTGGTGGCACAGTGGGTATGCACTGGGCTGCAAACCGCAAGGTAAAGCAGTTAGAAACCACCAGCTACTCCGTGGGAGAAAGGTGAGGCTTTCTATTCTCCTAGTTTGTCCTGGAAAACCACAAGGGGGATTCTCCTCTGCCTATAGCGTTGCTATGAGTTCCAATAGACCCGACGGCAGAGTTTGATTAGTTTTTGCTTACTAGGGTATACAGTAAGATCCTCAGCAACTTCAGTCTTTTCTCCCTTTCATAACACAGTGGAAAACAGAGTAAGATGTGATACAATGAGGCAAAACCAAAGTTTCCAAGTAATTTATTTAAATCCATTATTGTTGCAAAAATATGATGTGCAACAAATTACCATATTCTTTCTTCACAGGCCAAAGGAAAACAGTACTATATCTCCTTAGTAAACCAAGACCAGCCTAGTGTTTCTTACAAGGACCACACCACAGCAACATTTTGTAGTTATCAGGACTGAATTTCTCACACTGTAAAATGATGGCACTAATCTAGGCAAAATCATCTCAATAGTCACAAAAAAAGGTCACAGTACATTAATTTTGTCTAAATGACAGCAAGGTGAACTGTGGTAACAAAACACTTCTGAAATACGAATTAAATAAAGTGCTCAAGTTTTAAACAAACTTGGGGTTTATTCTACATGAATGGTGCCCCCGGGGCTGTGCCAAGTTAGTGGACCAGAACACCACCAACGTTCAGTAGCTAATTTTAAGCAACTGTGTAAGGGACTTAACTTGAGAATGCCCACCGACTAAAGGCGCCATAGAGCAGCTGCTTATTTCCAGTGTTACTCTACACACTCCCGTGTAACCAAAAGGAATGTGAAAACACATTATATTTCAAAATGCACAACTCAACTTTTCAAATAAAAAGAATGTCACAGAAGAAAAAACTTGAAAGCTCTCTATAGTAAACAGTGTAACTCATGTCCCTGAAGGATTAAAGTCTGGGTCTGGTGCTTGATATGCTATCAAGTGCATTATGTGACTTTTTAACATAGCATCCAAAAATTTCTAGTATGTAAAACAAGAAATTAAGGCGATTATATGAAGGGGCTTCAAGAATTCATGGAATAATGAAATTAAAATGGAAAATTTACATGAATTTAAACCCTGCCTCCCAACATAAGTAGTTGGAGTAACTTGTTTAACGTTTAGTTATCACTGTTCGCTGTTCTACACTCTGGCCTATTTTCAAGGATGATTTAGAATGTCGACGTCCCTGGGTGGTGCAGTAAACGAGGTGTACCTTCAACCACAGAATCAAAAGAAAGGCCGGGCCACCTGTTTCTGAAGCCCACCAGAGAGCACCCTGGGAACAGTTCTTCTCTGACAAACGGGGTTGCTGAAGTAACTGGATTGAAACTTGGCGTTTCAAACACTAAAGGAAACTTGATCTCGCTAGGCCTCATTGCTTATCTATTCAGACCCCTGCGAAAGCAAGGGGTATGTGAAGGGATCCCGAGGCTCAGGACGCCGAGTAGCTAATTCTCCAGCCCCTTCCCTTCCCAGTTAGCTTTCCGATGCAACTCACTCTCCCAGGAACTCCGTCTACAGGATTCCTATCGTCTATGAGGCTAACAGAATCGTTAACCAACTTCTAAGTACATTCAGTCCGCTATCGACCGCTTTCCTCGGAGATTTGTTCTGTGATCCACTTTTCAAATATATGGAGAGGTTGGGGAAGAACAGGCATGAAGACGAAATAGAATGGTGTGGTGATCTCTATTTCCAGCAAATCCCTCTTCCTTCTGATGGAATGATGTTTACTTTCCACATAAAATATAGGAACGATGAGGCTACTGAGCTATAGCCACATGGACCTCATTAGGAAACCGGGCTCACCCACCCAATAAATCCTTAACTGCATTAAATCAATCACTCCTCCAAATTCCCTGAGGACTCACATCAAAAGGATTGGCTATCTAGGGAAAAAGTGGGTCTACTGTTGGCGCTGCAGTTGAAGAAATGATAGGTACAGATATATACATGTCAACCAGCCCATTTCATTACTTAACAGTGATGCCCATTTTGGATGCAGTTTACCAACAATGGAATATGAAGAGTAACCCAATCCTAAACTTTCGTGTGAGTACTGTTCATTGCTGCCTCTCTGTTTAAACTTGCTTCAGTGTGAAGAGACAAAAAAGCAGTGGAAAATATCAACCCTTGGAAGCACAAGTACAATTTATTTCAACTTATTCTCAGTCTTTTCCCTTCTGCTCCACACACCTGAGTCACATACCCTGCCAAGTCTTCTACAGGCCGTGGCAGCACTCGCAGCCACACACGCAGTACTTCCCCCAACAGGGACAGTTCAGTGGTTATCTCTCCAACAGTAGCTAACTCTCCACGCCTGTGCAGCTTTCTTTCTTGTTTCATCTTCCTACCAGTTGCCCTGCTAGACTCTATTAGATCCTATTTTTTCATACTCCCCTCCAAGTTAAAGACTACGAAGCTGAAACTGCGTGGCCAATATGGTGTTTTTCCTTGTGCTTAGCAATCTGTGAGGCAGAACGCAGAATCAAGTCACTTTACATGGCCTCATCTGAGAAACAAGCAAAAAGGGGCATGCAGAGCCAAAGCGCAACAAAAGCACCCATGAGCTCCATGACCCTGGTGGGCGGTCAAACACCACAGCTCTATATACTTTCCTTTCCATCAGCAATGACACATTCACATTAAATACTATGGAAGAAATGTTATATAGCTACAAACAATAAATACCAGACGGAATAAATGCTTTCTCTCTAACCCAATTGTAAGCTTAAGCCTTACTGTTAGAAGCATTATCCATTAAAGTGTAAATTTAAAGCAGGCTTCCTTTGAATCCAGCAATGCAGAGCACATCGACTTGGTTATATTCATGTGTTTTCACTGTCGCTCTGAATGTTAGTGTCCTAGTAGAATGTGGGCTACTTCTAGTTTTCAAATAACTTTGGGGGGAAAATTGGGAAACCCTTCATATTTTTGGAATATGTTGTGTCTAGAGTTAGGAACGATGACTACAACAGTAAACACCAATAAAAACATTAAGGAGGTAAAGTTACTCACTGTATTTTTCAAACAAAAAAACTGAGTACTTCATGTGGTGGAACCCTCCCTACCTATTCAACTCAGTCCCTACTGAACAGAACCTATGGATGAAAAGACTGCTTACAGCACAGGTTAAAGCCACAAATTCATTATGCTCCTTTGCTCATCGTATTCATATTAAGTCCCCAGCTGAAGGAAGGCCCAAGTTGTTACTGTTAGTTTCGTCAACACAAGTGCTTTAAGGTGTGAGAGCGTGCAGTCACGGTTTTGGCTTGATTCACTCCAATGACATGAGCTCTGGATCTGCCCGCTGCTGCTGGGCCCAGGGCCGCTCAGGCGGTTGCTGAGGATAAATATTAAAAACTGAGCTCACATGCACTTCAATTTTGCTCTCCCAGGTTACTCTTGTAGGAAGGGCTGGGGTGCAGGGGTGCAGTGTATGGTGGGCGGGGTGTCAAGTTCACCAAATTACTGACTTAAACCTAAGAATGCTGGCCTGTGGTAAAGCAGTTGCCAATGTTTTGAAAATGATGTTGCAACATATGTACAAATGTGCTTAACACAATGGATGGATATATGGATTGTGGTAAGAGCTGTATGAGCCCCCAATAAAGTGAAATAAAAAAATAAAAGAAAACGTAAACACAAACCAAAGAGCAGTTGCCTTGATGATTCTGTGATGAATTCAGTTCTGTTTGGAAGCACATGTAGAATTACAATGTAAAGTGTAGGAATTTACCAGATTAAGCAATGAGATTGCATGTGCACGTCAAACGTGTCATGAAAACAGCACAGCACGATGATTCTCTAACGCTTACAAAGTGCACCTCCTGACAGTACTGTCCAACCTGGCTCAATGAGAGCACACCATCTCAGACTGGGCCAAACACTTGCTTTCAGAGAACGGATTTGGAAGTTATGTTGGCGCCCACGTTGAGAGCCGTTTACAACAGCAGCTCTGTTTTCAACAGAAAGAGCAGGGACAGTAAGTAAGTAAGTAACTTAGCACATTCTCAGTACTACTACACAGCACTCAGCTTCAGGGGAGGGACTCTCTGGACACACAGCTTATTTCACATTAGTGAACAAACCTAGGATTTTAAAACAGCTCTGACTTTCAGTCAGAAGATTAAACTGTTCCACATATACATATATACACACTTCAATTCCAAATGTCTTAATTCTCTAATTCTAAAGATGGCTTTTTCTCGTCTATAAATTTTAAAAAGGAAGGTGTGCAACACACTTACCGGTACTTTTATTTGAACTCTTGAACTGCGGGACAGTATATGTTAAATGAAAAAACCAAAATACCACCACCACCACAAAGCAGGATAGTCTGACCCTACCCTCCGAGTATGTGCAGACAAAAGGGTCTTTGGGCGTTCACGAGACACAGCCTCACTGTCTCTCCTTCAGGAGCCGCTCCACACTCTACTAAGTGACCCAGGAGTCTATGTCACCATTTACAATAACAAAATTTCTAACATGCACTTTACAAAACCATGGTCGTGTTTATATGTATATTGTCCCACGAGACAGGTACACATTAAAAAATATTGCTCAAAAACATAAAAATATATTATCTCTTTCCTTTACCATTTATGCACATAAATATTTTACTGAAGAAGATGCGTCATTCAATAAACAAATGCAATAACTGCTTTATATAAAGTGTGGTTTTGATATTGCAATATAAAATATAAAACGATTACAAAATAATTAGCTACTGATGAGCTAAATTCAAGAGATTTGCAAACCAATACAGCAGTGAACAGTCTCTTGTACAAAAGTCCATTAAGGAAAAGCCATGTCAGCTTTGAAATCAGTTACGTAACAGTAAGGGCCAATGAATGCATTGTAAATGCAGAGAGGAGAGCGAGCGCTGCTTTGCCGGCAACTCTTCAGTCCTGCCTGGACGAGACGCCACCCTTACTGCTCACCTTTTGGTTCTTCTTGCTTCCCATGAAGCGCTCGATCAACTCTGTTAAAACAATATAGACAATGAGAGACCAGGAAGGAACCGAACAATTTTCTCTCTAAAAACGATTACTTTTAGCACAGACCATTATTCTGTTAAAAACAACGCTATGCAGAGAAGCAAACACAGTAAAAAAGGTAAAACATTACTTCCCCAACCAGGAATGAGAAAATTTAAAGACAAGAGGACACAGGCACGAAATGTACGATTTTTTTCTTTTAAGAATTCTAAAACAGTGTTTAACATATAACTTCAAACATATTTGTTCAAAGCACCATGGGTGTATTCAAGTGTTAAACATGGTTGGGGTAAAGATCTAATGGTCAGAGATTGGCAGGGAAAACAGCTCACTGAGAAATAAGTTTTATTAACTGAAAGAATCAAGTACCATTGATGCCAACAAATGATTAACTCAAGTTTGAATTCAGACAAAAATGTATATTTATGGAACATACACTTTGTGTAGACTAAGCATGTAAATACTCTTCACTTGTTTTGATGTTATAACGATGTAGCATTCAGAAATATCTAAAGATGATAAAAAATCTGACTGGAATTAGCACTAGGTTACAGAGGTCACACCAAAATTTAATCAAATTTGGCTTAAAAGCTAACGTACTTACTGCACAATTATAGACAATCTCTCAAAGACAATATACAACAATCTATTACTATAATATTTGTAGCTAAAATAATCTGAGTATGTTAAGAAGAGATTTTCCATTACTGGATTTCATTATAATTATCACACACTTAAACATTACTGAATTAAACCTAAAAGTTCGGGCCTGTGATAACATCAGAGTAAAAACATTTAATAGTATTTCTAAATGGCATAACATTTTTGAAAGGTATATACTCTTTATATACACCCACTATTTTCAACCTCTGAAATGCCCTTACGAATTCGGAATTACTTAATTTCTACAATGAATTACGGCCAGCAGGTCAAGAAGTGCTCTCTGCCCGGCCACGTGTGCACTGAACTGGCTGAGAGAAACACCTCAGACGTCTCAAACAGGTGTACCGACCGCAGCACTCAGCTTTGCGCCCTGGCACGAGGACCAACAGGGAGATTTCACGTTAAATGAGCTTCCCCACACTTCACTCTCGTTAGATTTTGGCTTAACGGGGGAAAAATGTCTCTCTCTATTTTAGACATTAAATTTTATCATTTTCAAGTTCATTATGTTTTTTCCCCCCATTGGCTTAAACAAGCCTCAACAAAAAGCTAGGAAGTCCCTGAAACACACAGGAAAGCTTGGACACAAGTAGAATGGAAAAAAAGGAAAGCAGTAGTGGCAGGTTTCACACAACAGATTTCAGTCAAAAGTACAGTGAGTTCTCTTTCTAATATTTTGATAGTGGAAGTACTTCTTGACAGGTGATGAAAAACTAAGAGTTTTAAAAGGGCACAATGAAGCACACACCATCAACCCGGTAACTTCATGACGCAGGCTAGCTTCAAAATATTCTGCAATTAGATTATATTTTTAATTTCAGCCAGTGGTCTGGCAAATGCACGCTAAAGCCTAGGGAGAAATGAGGAACCAGCAGTTCAAATCTCTATTGCTAAGAGCGCTGGCTAACCTGTAACAGGTCACACAGAAACAGAAGGCTGTGAGCTTGTGACACGGTCAATGGGGCCAAAATGCTTCCCAGTTAAAATTACCAATACTTGTTTCTCTAGATGATTCAGCTAGAAATCTCATCTTAACATATGAAAGAATATTAAATTAGAATGCTTTGCTAACTTGTCATAATTTTCTAGCCTATTAACAAATTCAATCCAAATCTTGCATTTCTGTAAATCACTATATCAAACGGCAACTACTTTTAAAGAAAACACTGGGTTTTCTTCTATACCAACATATTAAAAGATAATAGTTTGTTATGCTCAAAGCAGAAGTGTTGAAAATTAAATTTAAAATGGAAAGCAGAGTGCTTAACTGTTAAATGGCACATTGAAGGTATTTTGTCACATGTAGAATTTGGCTGGTTAGCAGGCCATTTAAGGTAAGCATCGAAGGAAATCAATGTTGGTTAGCCAAAGAACATAGGCACTGCAAATATAATCATCAACCCCAGGGAAATAAATTAGGTCCCTTAAAAATCTGTATGAATATTTCAAAAGCATAAATTTGAAATATAAAAGTGCGAAAACATATATCCTTAAAAGTATTTGGCGTTTTAAGCAGTATTTCTAGTAATTTCTCTGGTTTCACTTAACCTTTAGGGTTGATACCTAACAGAAGAGGTCGTGGCCTTTTAATGCCCGATCGGCATTACCTGTGGTTTTAAGACCGCGTGAACCCAAGTCGTATTTAGCAGGAGGAACTCTGGAAGCTGGGGTAGATTCATATTTACATGTGCTATCATCTTTGTGTACAAGCTAACCAACCAACAGGGAGGCGTTAGTCTGTGCAATGCAAATAGACTAGTCTAGATGCAACCCAGTCAAGGTGTGCATATACCTTTTTTGTTTCTTTTTAAACTTTTCTTCTTCATACCTTGGTAGGGAAAAGTTATTTCAGTAAATATACATGTTATAATTCACATTATGAATACAGACAAAACTGACCTGGTAAAACTGGCTTTGACACAGTAAGCAGGCTAAAACTTCAGATTAATAGAACAAAGGAATTATTCTAAATAACAACTGTGAAGCTTAAGTATTTATGTTCTACCAAGTCCTTGCCAAAGATGAGTGGGAGTGAATTTTGTGAGCAGAACAAACTCGAGTTGAAAGTCTTACGGTTAGGCTGATAGGGCATTTATTTCCTTCGCAATGAGGTTCTCTGGTGACAGGATGAGCTCATTCAAATTGGAGATGCATGTTTAAATCTGGAGAAAGTTCCTCAGTACCCGATCAATCAGGAAACCATCCCTCACATTGAAATGAGTCTTTACAAGGTAGAAAATAAATCATGACCAGAAATCAGTTCTCCTACTTCTTCAGGTGAAAGGCTAAAGACAATGGTGACCTACGGGGAAGCAATCTCTAGGCTTAGGAGGGTGTGTGGAAAACAGCTTCTCCCATCTTTTATTTATTATAAAAAAGAGAGCAGTTATAAAATACTTGTAATAGACGAAATGAGAAAAAATAATGACCGAAAATATTTACCTCTTCTATATCAAAATATAGAGATCCAAGACAAATAAATAAATGAGACAAAACATACTGTTTTATGCACTCTGGAATGCCGACATACTCCATGGGGACAAGTTCCGCTAGTTCTGCCAAAGTAAAGACGTATCGAATTTTTTGACTGAATTTTGAGCTATGGGAGAAAATAAAAATGATAATCTCAATATTTCTCATCAACAGAAGTGACAAGAAATTTATACAAGGTTTTTTCCCTCCCCAGAAAGTTACCTAATAAATGGTCTTGTAACAGCCAGAAGTGTTCTGATAAACCAAGAGGGATGTACAATAATTAGAGATTTTAGGTTTTTCCGTAACCTGGAGTTAAAAGAGAGAAAAAAGTCTCGACATCTTCTAATGCTAGGAGACAAAGGCATCAATAAGTGTGCAAGTGCTTACAAAATAATTTTAAAGCTCATCCAAGAGTTCTCTCTAATCCTTACACTTCTTCCTGTCACTATAAAATAAACTCTACTTCATTTGGCCAAATTTACATCCATGCCTCCATTATATATTCAGGAGCCATAATGACACTGTTGGGACGATGATGGACTGCTGCCCACAGGTTGGTGGTTCAAAACCACCATCTGCTCCGTGGGAAAAAGTGAGGCTATCTGCTCCCTTGAAGATTAACAGCCTCAGAACAGGAAACCCTATTGAGCAGCAGTCTCAACCTGTGGGTCGCAACCCCTCTGGGGGTCAAAGGACCCTTTCACAGGGGTCATTCGATTCATAACAATAGCAAAATTATAGTTTTGAGATAGCAACGAAAATAATTTTATGGTTGAGGGGTCACCACCACATGAGGAACTGCATTAAAGGGTCACAGCATAAGGACGGTCGAGAACCACTGCTATACACGGTGGGTCATGATGAGTCAGAATCGACTCGATAGTGGTGGGTCTGGCATTCGCTTGTCAATCAGAGATAGCTTACGGTTGATACTTAATACAGAGTAAATGGGTTTCAAATTCTAGGTCAGATGGAGATTTTTACTAATTTCTTCAACACCATCAAAGGTACTTGCAGGCAAAGAAGTAGGAATGGGCATGACCACAGGAGCAGCAAGATGAGTAAGACTTAACTCGTATTCTTAAGGAGTTTAAAACTTCATTAGATAGTATGATGACTTAAAAGACAGAATTCTTCTCTTTTAGAAATACATATTGAAATATTTTGATATGAAATGACACTATGTAGGGGAGGGAAGAAAACATTAAACACATTAATTTCCTAGCCTAGGCCTCTTCTTTTTCAGTTTTTATTTTTTAGTTAGTGAGTGAGGCAGTGAGACAGTGAGAGAGTGAGGGAGTGAGACAGTGAGAGAGTGAGGCAGTGAGAGAGAGAGTGAGACAGTGAGAGAGTGAGGCAGTGAGTGAGTGAGTGAGGCAGTGAGAGAGTGAGGCAGTGAGTGAGAGAGTGAGACAGTGAGTGAGAGAGTGAGACAGTGAGAGAGTGAGACAGTGAGAGAGTGAGGCAGTGAGTGAGTGAGTGAGGCAGTGAGAGAGTGAGGCAGTGAGTGAGAGAGTGAGACAGTGAGAGTGAGGCAGTGAGTGAGAGTGAGACAGTGAGAGTGAGGCAGTGAGTGAGAGTGAGACAGTGAGAGAGTGAGGCAGTGAGTGAGTGAGGCAGTGAGAGAGTGAGGCAGTGAGTGAGTGAGTGAGGCAGTGAGACAGTGAAAGAGTGAGGCAGTGAGTGAGAGAGTGAGACAGTGAGAGAGTGAGGCAGTGAGAGAGTGAG